ACAGCTAATCCAGCTAATCTCATACATTGTACAGCATAGAGTTGTCACAGTATGAAAATGTCAGTAGTCACCAGGAAGGTTAAAAATGTTAAAATAAAATAGTAGTTTAAGAAATTCTCAATTACAAAAACATTGCTTAAAAATTTAAGTAAAAGAAACAATCAGTAATAACAGAGAAAAGAAACAAATCACAAACAATAAATCAAGTGTTTTATTCAAGTATTAATGCATTTATTCAACAATGATGCATGAAATTATTCAAGTGACAGTAAAAACATTATTATAAAAGACTTTTATTTAAAACAAATGCTTTTCTATTCATCAAAGAATCCAGAAACAATGTATCATGGTTTCCACAAACAGCAGCACAACTGTTTTCTACATTAATAATAATAAGAAGAAATGCTTGAGCACCAAAGTCAGTGAACTACGGCTCTGTGAAGTAAATGCTGCTCCATCTGAAAGCATGTGAAAATACCACATTTAATAACATGTTTTTACTCCAAACTCATACCGTCAGTCGAGTGTTTGAAATAAATCCTTCTGTGAGATGATGTGGCTTCTTACACAGAATAAGGCACGCAACATATTTCATAGTATTTAAGCAGTGATAAAGGCATTGCATTATAAATATACTTTATTTTAATGAAAATTATAATAATAAGAACTCGATATACGATAAACCGTATATTGCCGTAGTCGTGTGTTTATTAGTCACGTTGAATCAATGAAAGCAGTTGAATCTTGCAGTTGAGTTGAGTCAGTTGAGGGCTAGAGCGCCCTCTGGCCTTTGGATGGAGATTTACTGCTGATCACAGAACCGTGCTTCACTGAAAGATACGCATGACAATCGCAGCTTCTGTCGAATCGCGATCTCGATTCCATTTCGATTTATCGTGCAGCCCTAATTCACATAGAAAATCTTTATTTTAAACTACAATAATATTCCACAATATATTCTGTTTTTGATTGAATAACAGTGCCCTTTGGTGAGCATAAGAGGCTTCTTTCATAAAATGTTTTAAAAAATTGGTAGTGTACAATAAACTACTTCAGTTATATCACAAAAAGTACAAATAAACAAATTCTACAAAAATTCATTCATCAAAAGCACAGTCTTCCTGCTCTTCTGTCATTTTCATAATAGGCTGACTTGATCATGGTGATACCACTTGGATACTTGGGAACATAGTTGGCACTATGGACACTGTAGAAAGACTACTATAATTTTTTTTAACTTAAATATCAGCTTGGTACTTAATTAACAATATTTCTGACATCCCTAGGATAGCAGTGTGAAGTCCGTTGTAATGCAGGCATAACCTGCATGGTTTGTTCTTAACAGTTGACTCTTTTTTTAGTCCTTAGACTCCAGCTGTGAAGTTGCTTGCCTTCGAGAACAAATTCAAAAATCACAGGAGGAGATCAAGGAAAGAAAAGGAGACCAACTCCATTCACAGACACTCCCACATGCAGGTAAGACGTTGTTCATCAGTTTAAAGTGAGTGTGTCATGTAACCATGTTTTCCAATGCTGCTGTAAGCAGGATGTGTAATTTTGGATTGGGATGAGTGTTTAGAGAGTTATTTTTACACAAGGGCTTTTTCTTGTGTATATATCACTCCCTCATGGACCCTCTTTCGTAACCTGCCTTGCTCTTTCTCAAATGCAACTCCGTATTAGATGTGGAGGAGGAGGACGAGGCGATGTTCTCCGCAGACCCCTCCTGCTTCGTTACAGACCCAGAATTCTGCTACCAGGAATTTGCCAGACGGGAGGAGGACCATTTCCAAGTATTCCGGGTGCAGGTGGGGACAGAGACTTTGCACTGGGTGTCACCTAACAGAAGTAGCATAAAAGGGTACTAAGGGTCAGAATTACAGCTCATGGCCTTCCTTCTCAAGACTGTCAACACTTAACGTTACTCTCAAAACCTGACTACATTTTCTACATTTGATTTGAATGGGAGTATGCCACTCCTATAGTGAAAACAAATATACATACATAACATTTAACATTTAAATACACACACACACACACACACACACATATATATGTGTGTGTGTATTTAAATTTTAATGTTAAAATAGTTTGTTTTATCCCAAGTTATATTTAGAATTTTGGGGTCAGAAAGAGAGAAATTAATACTTTTATCCAGGAAGAATGCATTATTATATTGATCAAAAGTAAGAGTACATATATTTATAGTGTAACAAAAAATATTTTAAATGAATGCTGTTCTTTTCAATTAATAAAAAACTTAAAAACGTGATGATAATATTCATGATAATAAATGTTTCTTGAGCAGCAAATCAGAATATTACAATAGTTTCTGAAGGATCATGTGACACTGAAGTCTGATAATGGCTGCTGAAAAATCAGCTTTGTCATAGGAATAAATTACATTTTAAAATATATTAAAATAGATAAGCTATTTTAAATTATAATATTATTTCACAATATTACTGTTTTTACTGTATTTTTAAAAAAATCAAATAAATGCATCCTTGGTGAGCATAAAATACTTTTTTCAAAAACATTAAAATCATACTGACCCCAAATTTTTGAATGGTAGTTTATATATAGAAAGAACTGCAAGTAAGTTTGTAGGTTGTTTTTTTTTTTCTCCCCCCAAAAAACATTTGTGGAAACCTGTTTGAAAAGGTAATTTATTTAGGCAAATCTGTTTGGGGACACTAATGATGCCGAAATTATGCACTTTACCTTTAACAGACTTTAAAATACTGCGATAAAGTTGATGTTATGAATGCTTGATTTATTTGTCTTTCTGTGCAGGACTATTCATGGGAGGATCACGGCTTCTCGTTGGTGAACAGGCTCTACTCTGATATAGGGCACTTGTTAGACGAGCGATTCCGCAATGTGGCCTCCCTCCCTTTCCCTCACAGCCCCGATCTCAAACGAGCCATCTGGAACTACATTCATTGCATCTATGGCATCAGGTACCTTGGTTCCCTGGTTTTTCGCAATTTTGCATTTTGGTGCTAGTTTGCATTCTGAATACAAAAGAAACATGGAATTAAATATAATGGCAAGCTTTCAACTCCATAATCACACCTTGTGACTCATCGACTACTTTTGAGAATGCTGAAAAAGGCACAAAAACAAAGCACTTACTTTGACATGTTTGCCCTCAGATATGATGACTACGATTATGGGGAAGTCAGCCGGTTACTGGAGCGTGGACTGAAACTTTATATTAAAGCTGTGGCCTGCTATCCTGACTCCAGCAAGACCCCTCTATGCCCACTGTCCTGCGCCCCTGTCAAAGCTTCAGACAAGGTGATTTCCTATCAAAACTTGTGCTGTGTACACTTCAGTAACATCTACTTAACCCTATAAAGCCTAATGTATCATATTTATGACCCTGGACCACAAAAGCAGTCTTAAGTCGCTGGGGTATATTTTTAGCAATAGCCAAAAAAACATTGTATGGGTCAAAATTATCGATTTTTCTTTTATGCCAAAAATCATTAGGATATTAAGTAAAGATCATGTTCCATGAAGATATTTTGTAAATTTCCTACCGTAAATATATCAAAACTTAATTTTTGATTAGTAATATGCATTGCTAAGAACTTCATTTGGACAAATTTAAAGGCGATTTTCTCAATATTTAGATTTTTTTGCACCCTCAGATTCCAGATTTTCAAATAGTTGTATCTCGGCCAAATATTGTCCTATCCTAACAAACCATACATCAATGGAAAGCTTATATATTCAGCTTTCATATGTATATTCATATTCATATTCAGTTTTCATGGTGTATAAATCTCAATTTCAAAAATTTGACCCTTATGACTGGTTTTGTGGTCCAGGGTCACATTTGATGCACAAATTCTTTAAATTATCATCATGATCAGCTTTACTGAAAAAGTTTCACACAATTTACTTCATGCATTCTGCCGTCTGATTGATAGTTCATATTTTGTAGCAAGTAAAAAGTCTTTTAGTATAATTCTAAAAACATCCCTTTTCAGGTTGTGGTTCATGTGTATTTTTGCTGTGAAATCTTATTGTTAGTATAATTTCAACACTTGCTGGATTGAAGCAACTTGATTATCTGTACATCATTTTTAGAAAAATCATGTTAAAATACTTATTAGTTTTTTTTTGAGAAATATTTATTTGTTCGTCTCTCAGTCATCAATGTATTGCACTGCATTATATGTTTTGCCCCCACAATAAAAACTACAGAGCTTTGATCATAAATCTTGCTTTGAATTATTATTGGGAGATCTGAGGTGTTTTTTCTTCCTAGAGTGTGAGCTCCATATTATCCTATCATACTAAATGAGCTATAAAAGCCTGATGTATCAAATATGATACTCAACAACAAACGCATGCTTTTGAACTTTTTTTTGTTGTTGTTGTATTTATTAAACTGTACAAAAATTAAATATTTGAAAATTGTACGACTGTTGTTATTTTGTTCTTGCCATAAAAGTGCTACTGACATGGTGTTAAAAAATAATAATAAAATATACCATCTTTCTGTGGTTTTTGTCTTTTAGGTTCATGTAAATTTGTTAGTGATGGAGGCACGTCTGCAGGCCGAGCTGCTGTACGCGCTCAGAGCCATCACTCAATACATGATCGCATAGGACACGAGCGTTCAGCGCCACAGAGGGACATGGTACAAAGAAATACAAGCAGAGATCTGTCTCTCCGTCTCTGTATTTGTTGTCTCTGAGTTTACCGGTGTGACGTAAGGTACTGCTGTGAAACATTTCTGTGCCAGAGGTGAAACTTTAGACGAAAAAAGGTGTAAAGCAGTCGCTCTCACTGTCCTTTGCATGTGTTTCTCCTACTTTATTTTGTTTCTGTAGTTGTCCTTTTGTGTGCGGACTCTTCTTTTTCTACCTTTCCTTTTTTTTTTTAGTATCTTTATCCCGGATGGTTAATGTGCAATTACTTTTATTCAGTTATTGTTGTTATTAATATTTTCCCATTTGTGTGTTTTTTGTTTTTTGTTTTTTGCTGTTGCTATTCAATTGACTGACAAAGAGAGAGAGAGAAAGTGTCCAACTGGTCTTGGCCAATTTGAGTCACTGTTTACAGAAAATGAGTGATTGGACAAAGGCACTTTGCTTAACATGGCTTCCAGATATTTCGTTTGAATGTGGAATTGTGAGACCAGAGCAAAATTCAACAAAGAGTAAGAGAAGGTTCAACGGCTGCAACTTTCTTTTTAAATGAGCACTTTTAAGACAGTGTCTATCTATAGAATATCTCAATAAGCTTTCAGCTGTGGCTTCTTTCAGCACACAGCAGGTCATCGAAGTACTGTTTTCACTCATTTCGATCGATTAGCATTGATGTTGTTTTCCAAAATCTTCCACTCGCTCTTTTCTCTGCATGGGTGCTGTAAGTGATTAAAATGGGCACATTTATAGGATCCGTAATTATCATCCGATTCATCTCAGCAGACCGCTTTACAATGTGAAGATCTAAATTTGACGGGTTCAAAGCAGTGAAATGGAATCGCTTTTTCTAAACTACTTTTCTTTGTGGTCGTGTTCTCAGTGTTTCTCAGTTACTTAGGGGTGGGCAGTCGGTTTTACCTGCTCTACACGAACTGGCCAAATTACCACAGTATGTATTTCAACTCCATTATATCATATTCTAACTTGGAAAACTGTTTAAATACCATTTAAAAGCAGGTCTTTAATTTTGATAGGCCGCATGCATTTGATAGTTTAGGTTAATGCTGTGCTGGCGTCTCCGGTGAAGACATTTGGATCAACAACAATTAGGACTTGTTTTAAAATATTTTACCATGTAAAAATTTAAATTCACCTTGTGATGTGAGAAGGAGCTCAGAATAAGCTTAAAATGTGATTTTAATGTTGACACGCTGGTATAGATCAAATGAAGGACTTCTGACAGAACTATAAGCCTGTCACTATCCATCCCATAACTGACCTGCACAAAATTATAATTTTTTTTTTTTTTGCACTGAACCTTTTGCACAAAACCCTACAAGTGTGGTTGCAGCTGGCAGCTGTCATTGTTACAAACCGCTTAGAGAGGCGATGGCCCCTCTGATGCCATGAATATATTCAATGTCCAGTTTTGTTGACAAGGCCAAATACCTGTACTGTGTTAAACTCTCATCGGTCTGGTTACCTAATTACAGTTGGCAGAATGACTTGGGCGACACCTATGGTTGGTTTTGTGTGTTTATTTTTCAACATTGCATTACTTCTGTTGCTATTTTAGCATTTTGTCATTTTGAGGGAGGGTGATGTTGTTGGTGTCAGTTTTGCTCTTGCCTGAACCGTTTAGATTAAGAAACCAAGGTATGTAAATCAGCAGAAATGTGTACAGGAGCCGCAGTCTGTGCTGGGCGCACGGTGCCTTTTGACTACTGATGAGTCAGTCCTGGTTCATCAGTATGGCTAAACTGGACTGAAGTCTCAGAGCTAAGCCTCGTGCTACTGCTTTAATTCAAGCTGAGAATGGAAGATGTTCATCATCCGGGCCGACCGAGGGTAATGGACATCCGGAGGCATTTGTCAGGAGCAGAATAGGACTGCAGCACGGCCATTCGACCTTAAGCGGGACTGTCTTAAATGCTTGTTCTTGAATGGCGGTCTGCCACATCCCTGAAACGTGGACACTTCCAGACTGTCTCCACCACCTCAGCTGGAAGAGGACTGTGCCTCATCGCTGGAGACTGAACGAGCATGGCTATTGCCAAAAATGTTTATTTACCACGTAAATGTAGGAACTCTAAAAATTTAAACTAACCAAAAGAACAAAAAAAACTTGAAAAATAAGCAAAAAAAAGTTTTGAAAATGTGAAAGCTTATTTTTTCTATAAAGATATGCAACATCATTGATGTGTCTCGTTTTTATTTAGTCATTAAGTCTGAAAATAAATGTTTTTATAGTCTAGATTTAGTAAATTAGTTTTATGGATGCAAATAATTAACTCAAATGGTTTATATTTCCAGAGTATCAGACTGAGCACTCAATCAGTTGGGAATCCATTTTTCATAATGGTGTCTGAAACAGTGTAATCCTGCCATCTAGTGCTACCAGGAAAATCACACCAGGAATTCAGACGTTACATTAAAATATTCCAGCATTAATACAAGCGTTTTGGAGTATGTTTAAAAGCAGAAATGTGAAGATTGTGATTTAAAAAAAAAAAAGCAATTACATGAACTCTTCTGGTAAAAGTCTGTGTGTGTTTGATCTGACAAGCTGTTAAAATTGGAGTTTATTGGAGAGTTCTTCAAATATGCCCCCTGGAGGTCTGTTGTTTAGATCTAACCTTTATCAAACTCACCTGAACGAGGTCTTCAGGATTACTAGAAAATTACAGGCAGGCGAGTTTGATCAAGTTAGGATCTAAACGCCGCGGGACAACAGACCTCCAGTCAGGGACAGTTTTGAAGAACCGTGGTGTATGAGGTTACGTTGACCTGTGAACAAAGTTGTAAATTTGGATAAAATCTGACACAGAAAAGGTTAGTACTTTTGTCACTCTAATGTCATGTTAACATGCGTATTATTTACGTCTAGTAGCTACATCAACAGTGAGTGTTTTGACCGCTACGGATTGGCCGTTCATTTACACCGTAAAGGCCCGTTCACACCAAAACGGTAACGTTCTGTTTGTTATAAGCGTGCGACTCTAATGTCATGTTAACATGCGTATTATTTACGTCTAGTAGCTACATCAACAGTGAGTGTTTTGACCGCTACGGATTGTCCCTGTTCATTTATACCGTAAAGGCCCGTTCACACCAAAACGGTAACATTCTGTTTGTTATAAGCGTGCCCTGCAGTTATATAGTCTGCCGCTTTAAATGTTCGAGTGATTCCAAAGATATCGTTCCTCTTCGTCGTTAAATGTTATAGCTGTGTTCTGTGGCTTCCCTATTCTCATGGAGTTTGATTATTAAAAGTAGTTATCCATACAGTTGTCGATAATTTATCCACAACCGGGAACATTTCATTTGAATTTGATTTAATTTCACATTTAGTATGTATGGCTACTCTTGAATATATTAACATTTATATACTAAATGTTTAATACATAATGGTGTGAATCTTGTTTACTACTACTTAATTAGTTGCTCTCAATTTAATGAATGCCCTGCACCTCTGCTTATGTCAAATGAATGGACCAATGAAACAAACTTAAAACAGTCTGCGTTAAACAGATTAGGTTTATTTCTATTATGCTGAACTGCTTTCAATGACCTCGGACTAACAAAATATGGAAAAAGCAATCAAGTACATATACAGTATATTGGCTATGCACAACTTGTCAGTTTTACATCCCACCATAACCCAAAACAAGAGAGAAAAAACCCAACCCAGACCATAAACTAATGTCCTGTGTTATCAACTGGGATACTTAGCAAACTCTCTAGGAAAATGAAAAGAACTAAAAGAATGAATACTAAAGGAAGAGCAGGCTAATATCAAACAAGGAAAGTGAGAGTGATTTGGAAAGCAGGAAGGTGTAGAATTCCTGCAGCAGCCCTGTTACGTCTGTCTGACGGGACGAACATTTTGATAAATTTTGAGAAATTAAACAAAGCCAGGGTGTTAACCACGAAAAATCACTTTCAAATCAACACTCAAATGACATGAGAAAATATCAAAGGTGACTGTCAGCCATGAAGCTTTCTGAAAGGTATAACAATCACTCTTGGACATCAAGGAGCTGCGTTACATGTACAAAGATAAAAACACAAAAAAAGACGCCCCAAAAGACAAGCACATCGATGTAAACGGATGATGGAAAATCATCAATCGCTGTATCAAACATTACACCATTTGTGAGGAGCATCGTTACATTTTATGTGGTGAGCCCTTCCCTCCCCATTCACAGTTTCTTTTATAATATACAAAAACTGAGAGTTTGGGAATTAAAACATAGGTAACTTTCTCATACTATGTTCTACATTAAGAAATTGTACTCAAAATGCGTTGCATAAAATTATTAAAGGCCCTGATATCTACATATGCACCAATCAAATATGGCCCACTTTAACTGTCATATTTAATATCTAGCACCGATGAATAGGATAAAATTATTCCTCTGTAAGGAGAGAACGCTTTAACAATTAATCTAATGCACTCAGACCATTACATCGACGTGATAAGAGTTACTAATGTCAAGCTCTCGAATTAAAGCCAATTTATACACCAAAAAAAAAAACTTCAGAATGCTGGTTTTAAACTGGGTAAAAACCATCTGAACAAATAATTAAATAAGTCAACCCTTCTATTACAGAAAAGGTACAAGTTGAAAAGAAAAGGGCTTTAAAACTGTCTGGTTTTCTCTGGAGCGACATGCTATAGTGTTCATTGGCAGTTTACAAAGTTTTGTAGGAACGCTACAAATGCACGCTTTAACAATTAATCTAATGCACTCAGACCATTACATCGACGTGATAAGAGTTACTAATGTCAAGCTCTCGAATTAAAGCCAATTTATACACCAAAAAAAAACCTTCAGAATGCTGGTTTTAAACTGGGTAAAAACCATCTGAACAAATAATTAAATAAAAGTCAACCCTTCTATTACAGAAAAGGTACAAGTTGAAAAGAAAAGGGCTTTAAAACTGTCTGGTTTTCTCTGGAGCGACATGCTATAGTGTTCATTGGCAGTTTACAAAGTTTTGTAGGAACGCTACAAATGCATACATTAGATAAATCTCTCATAATAAACTGCAAGATTAGATATATTTCTGCAATGCTAAAATATCTATGTGACGTTGGCTTGCATAAATGACTTTCATAATTTAGAAAAGGCCATGAGCATTGAAGTCATAACATGATTATCTCATTACTTCCAGAAGTTGTTTTAATTACTATTTTTCATAACCCTGAGATTGAAACATTGCATTAATCATTTTCGGTTGGACCAGTCTTGCGTTTTGAGATGAAATAATTGCCTAGACACTTAGAAAAGCAACCAAGCAAATCATTTTTTTTTCTATTTAGCACAAACAATTATAGCAAATTTAAACTTTTGAAGAACTGTATTCTCTTACATGTACTCATGTCAAATTAGGATTTAGTTTACACTGATTTTTCGGAAAGGTTTTGTAAAGCTTATCTGCACTGCAATGCATACATCCAACATGCAGTTCTTAGTGTTCTTTTGGTTATTGTATAAAATCTATATGCATTTCATCTTTTACAAAAATAAAAGATTACATAGAAAATGACCGTTAAAAATGATCTGAAATAGCTTCTGCTCAGATTTAAAAAAGCTCATTAACAGCATGTTTTTTTTTATTAGTCTGTTAATGATAACGCCCCAATCTAAATTAGAATTATAGTCGATATATCCAACTGTTTTTGTTCTTTAATAACATTTTTTTATAAAATATGAGTAGTGCTGTTTATGAAAAACTGAACAATGAGAAAATAGTTTTTCTTCTGTGCGTCTGTGGACACAATTAAACATGCCAGAGGAACCATAACATCTCATTACTGTAGCCATGTTTCTTCAAGATTCGCTTCAAACTCACGTATAACTCGGAAAACAAACTTTCTTCTGCGCTTAAATGAAATGATTCAGAGTAACCTTGAATTCTGTTGTTAGTGTGTTGGGATCAAGTTTCGGGAGCATTAAACATATTTGAACGCACACAAATGTACACACACACCCTCCTGCACACACACCCACACACACAAAATCTTCAGATATTGTATTCTGCAAAAGGGCTCCAAGTTTCCAACAATAACACTATACCATTTAACTTGTTGGCAGGATTAAAAATGCATTAAAATGCCCTGTGGAAAATCACATTTCTTCATACTGTTGTTATCATTAACAAACACTTAAGAGCAGACAGTTAAATCATCATTCAGTTATCAGCCTCTTCAGCACATCACAAGAAAACGCCTTCGTGAGAGAAGAGGTCATAAAAGCCAAACTAATTGCACATTGAACACCACAGCATCACCAAACCACCTTGAAACTTTGATGCTTCATTCCGATGAGAGAGAGAGAGCACACCTTAACAGTTCAGCTGTGGTCCGTGAAACCGTCGCCACTCAATGTTGTTCTCAACTTAACATTCCTATGGTGCCTTGTTGTTTTCATGCTCAGAGGGGGGCTGAGAGCTACAGTAACGTCAGGTCAGCTGTGGAAGTCACTCCATCAATCTCAGCTGCTCGGACTTCTCCAAGGCTGTTCAACAAACAAGTTCACATCAAGAAAAGCTGCAGTTTGATCCTCCTGGCCGAATGAGTTCCATTATCAGGGGGAAGAAGATCAAGGAGGAGTACCATCTCCATCTTACACTACGCATCATAGGCAAATAATGTAATAAACATGATTAGCTGTTTATTAGGTGTGCTTTAGTCCAAGATTGGCCAAATAAACTGCAAATTTCAAAACTAAAATGTTGCACATATAAGACTAAAGAAGAGAAAAAAATATGTTTCAAGACCATGTTCTCTGTGTCCAACAGCACACTCTTCAGTTGACATTGGCACTTGGGACATGTATGAGGTTTGATTTTGTCATTTAATTGAAAATTCTGACATGACACTTCTAGGCCAAGCACGTGTTGTCCTTAGCCAAAGGAGTCTATGTATTTGAGGTACAATGGCAAATGCAGAGGCAAAAATTTGAGAATATGTTCAGGCAATATGCCACATCTGTTTTCAAAGTTGTTTTAAGAATGGGGGACAATCCTGTAAAAATAATAATAATAATAATAATAATAATAATAACGAGAAAAGGAGATTAACACATTAGGACACAAAGGAACAGCTTTACATAAAGAATAATGCAAAACCATAATTTAAATTAAAAAAATAGTTCATTAAAACAAAAATAACAATCATTTACTCATCCTCATGTTGTTTCAAACCTGTATGACGTACTTTCTTCTGCAGAACACAAGCACGTTTGAAGAATGTTTCAACCATTTTTGCCCTTAAAATGAAAGTCAATGAAAGTCAACATTGGAGCCCACTGATGTTCACTGACAGATCATATTACAATGTCTTCTTTAGTGTTTTCATGAAGAACATAAGATGGGTTTGGAACAATATGAGGGTGAGTAAATTTCATGTTTTTGAGTGAACTATCCTTTTCAAACAAACCCAAATTCAGATACCTGTTCTCATCTTTAATAATGGAGTTAGCTGGGCACCCAGTTGTGGGAGGAGCTCTGTGTGGTAGCTGGCCCAGTATAGCCCTGTCCACCCTGTATGATGGGGTCAAAGTTGAAGTCAACCAGGTCTCCATCCATAAGATCACTGTTGATAATATATTCCACATCACAGTCCAGGTTTTCAGTGAACATGTCGATATCCAAGTCTGTAGGCAGACGGTCCTGGGAGGGCATGAAGTAGGGCGGCGTTGCAAACTGGCCTAGACCTTGCAGGCCTCCATTCCCACCAGGTGACGGGACAGGTCCGTGCTGCAGAAGCCCAGCGCCTGGCACCTGATGCTGGGTCTTTACAGTTGCGAGCTGAGGTGGTTCCTGGCTCATGGCCAAGTGCATCATTCCAAAGCCCATCTGTGAGTGCTGGAGTTGGGGTTGAGGCCGGAGGCTCATCTGCCCCACCGTGCTTGTGTCAATGCCTTTGCTCAGCAACATCTGACCTGCCTTAGCTTGGCTGCTGGACATAGATCTCCCGAGCCCCAAAAGCCCACCACCTCCTTGGCTTGGCATGAGAGGATCCATTTGGGTCATCATAACATCGCTGGGTGGGGGTGAATCGGAGGTCAGGAGAGCTTCGAGGCTGGAGGGCACGTGAGTGCTGAAACCACTGTGACCAGGACCGGGCAGGGGGCTGAAGAGGGAGTTTCCGAAGCTCGATGGGCTTGTGCTGGATCCGGCGCTGTGTTGAACCGAGCTCTGTGGCCCCGGCGGAGTGGATCCCTGTGTAGTCTTTGCTGGCTGCAGCTGCCGAAATGAAGGAAAGCTGGACCCTCGAGGCAGCAGGGTGGACGCCGAGGGCAAAGGCTGAGGTGGGGCAGGAGGAGCTGTGCTTGGGCTCGCACCACCTTGCGGACCAGTCATTAAAGTTAGCCCGTCAATCAAATCCAGTTCTTCCATTAGCGTCTCAGTTAGTGTTGGGGGAAGATTCCCTGTGGAATAGCCACCAAGAAGGCCATCCTCAGGTAGGTCATCCTCGTCCTCCTGCCCCGTGGCAATGGGAGAAAGCCTCCCGCTCAGTGTGCTGGCATTGGAGCTTGTACGTGGCCTGAAACTCGTCCACATGTCCGGGTCGTCCAGGCTGCCACGAGAGGAAGGGCTGCTGCTGTTCACTCCCCACTTTCCGAACTGAACTGGAGGCCCGGGACTGTCCGCACCGCCAGCACCAGAAGCACCCTCACCCTGCAGGGCACCTCCAGAGCCTCCAATCCCTGCCGCTCCAGCCTGCTTTTTAGTTTGCTTTGCTCGCAAACGACTTTTAAGTAATTTGCTGCTGTTGTCCATTGAGGCGGCGCGGCGGCGAGGGGCTTTGCCAGTTTTGCCCCCCTCAGGGTTGAGCATCCACCAAGAGCTCTTTCCAGTCGACTCATTGTGCACTCGCATGAACTTGTTGTGGAGCGATAAATTGTGGCGAATGGAGTTCTAAATGGGATGACAAAAAACAAATCAAGTCTAAAAGAGAGATAAATGTTACTGCAAAATAAGGTTTAAAGGATTGAAAATATTACTATCAGGATTTGAAATTAACACCCGCCAATCATCCATGGCAGGCAATGCTGTGAACTCACTAGCCAGTTTTTTTTTTATTCTATCAAACTTTGTGTATCAGCATTAACAGTTTCACTCCCTAGCCATAGTCATTTGATTAATTGCTGCATATCCAAGACCTTCATGTGTCGCTATTTATGGTGTCTTGAAATTATATTTTGGGGCATGAATTATCATTATTGGGTTCACTTTTTCTCCTCCAAGGATGTCAATGGAAGAGAGGCTTCACGGTGTAAAAAATATTTCAATCCAATAAACAATTAACCCAAGTTCTGATTTTGACAATGTTTTATTTCTGATCATTTTATTTTGGCTATTAGAAGTTTTGAATGGCCAGTAACTTCATTTTAGTAGGCAAATTCTATATTACTTTTTGATATTTTTTTTTTGATAGTTGTTCTGAACTGCCAGTAATTAAAAGTTTGTGTAGCCAAATTGGCAGGTGAGTGGAGAAGTTCATTTCAAACCCTGATTATCATTATTAATTCTTAATCTTTACTTTTTTTAGACATACCTTCCACCCAGCAGAACTATTACTGTCTCCTTTGTCCTTAAAATACGGCACCGTTTTTACCATCCAATCGTAGATCTGCGCCAGAGTAAGTCGTTTATCTGGCGAGTTTTCAATCGCCTGGCTGATTAGATCTGCGTAGGACTGATTACCCCAGGCATTACGCCTGGAAGAACCTTTTCGAGGTGTGGCTCCGCCCCCTCCAGCGACAACCCCGCCCTCAGAGACCGTGACTTTCTCAGGCTCAGATATGATTGGCTGAGGCTCGTGTTTATCTTCCTCGGTGGGCGGAGTTCCAGCAGCAGACTCTGAGCCGTCGCCCCCCCCAGCTTTGACAACTGAGATGTCGGGTCTAGGCAACGGCCATGTACATGACCTCGGTCTGCTCTGTGGCTCAAAATCTGGGTCAATCGGGGGTACGTTTTCTTCCTCCATTGTGCGATACAATCCAGATAATTTCAGAGGAAGGCTGGATTTCAGAGAACTAGTTTTGATGCGACGTTTTTAAAAACACGATTCAATAAACCAACAGACTGGGCGATTAAAAGTAAGAGTACGACTATTTGTAAGAAAATAATTTTAAAATCTTGTTTAGGAACGATTTGTTTTTTATTGCTTAATATTGGAAACACTACAGTATAAATTATCCGGACTAAATTTAACCGCGACTGTCTAGAGCGTAACGGAGCACATTCGTAATAATCTGAACACACCAATATAGCATCAGTTAATCTTCAGATTGGAGATTAAAGGGGCCAAATAATCTCCTTAATAGTAACTAACATAAACCTTCTGATTTACATAGAGCAAACGAGGATAGAAGGGGGTCTCTTTGTTTAATGTAGAAGGAACAAAGGAAATTCCCTACACATCTAAACAGCTGGATTGTCAAGAGCAACTACTGAGATAAACCACAGGAAAACACGCGCTGGAGTGACGGGATGATTATGAACTTTTCTTAGATAATTAAACACACAGAAAAAAAAAAAAAAAAAATTTTTAATTGTCGTTGAGGCAGTTAAGTAGGCGAACTCGCAAAACCAATCATAACATGAGCTGTAATTGCTAAAATAACCACCTCCCGCTGGTTCCTATTATAGCAGCGAATGGTTGATTGGCTTTCGCAATTAGATTTTAGAACAAGAAAAATACGTAAATCTATAAATAAATATAGACCAACTTACAAACTCTACAAAAAGAGATCTGCGTAGGACTGATTACCCCAGGCATTACGCCTGGAAGAACCTTTTCGAGGTGTGGCTCCGCCCCCTCCAGCGACAACCCCGCCCTCAGAGACCGTGACTTTCTCAGGCTCAGATATGATTGGCTGAGGCTCGTGTTTATCTTCCTCGGTGGGCGGAGTTCCAGCAGCAGACTCTGAGCCGTCGCCCCCCCCAGCTTTGACAACTGAGATGTCGGGTCTAGGCAACGGCCATGTACATGACCTCGGTCTGCTCTGTGGCTCAAAATCTGGGTCAATCGGGGGTACGTTTTCTTCCTCCATTGTGCGATACAATCCAGATAATTTCAGAGGAAGGCTGGATTTCAGAGAACTAGTTTTGATGCGACGTTTTTAAAAACACGATTCAATAAACCAACAGACTGGGCGATTAAAAGTAAGAGTACGACTATTTGTAAGAAAATAATTTTAAAATCTTGTTTAGGAACGATTTGTTTTTTATTGCTTAATATTGGAAACACTACAGTATAAATTATCCGGACTAAATTTAACCGCGACTGTCTAGAGCGTAACGGAGCACATTCGTAATAATCTGAACACACCAATATAGCATCAGTTAATCTTCAGATTGGAGATTAAAGGGGCCAAATAATCTCCTTAATAGTAACTAACATAAACCTTCTGATTTACATAGAGCAAACGAGGATAGAAGGGGGTCTCTTTGTTTAATGTAGAAGGAACAAAGGAAATTCCCTACACATCTAAACAGCTGGATTGTCAAGAGCAACTACTGAGATAAACCACAGGAAAACACGCGCTGGAGTGACGGGATGATTATGAACTTTTCTTAGATAATTAAACACACAGAAAAAAAAAAATTTTTTTTTTAAATTGTCGTTGAGGCAGTTAAGTAGGCGAACTCGCAAAACCAATCATAACGAGCTGTAATTGCTAAAATAACCACCTCCCGCTGGTTCCTATTATAGCAGCGAATGGTTGATTGGCTTTCGCAATTAGATTTTAGAACAAGAAAAATACGTAAATCTATAAATAAATATAGACCAACTTACAAACTCTACAAAAAGCGATAAACCACCTTAATATGAGAGCGTCAAATCGTACAATAATCTTCCTTGTAAACTTGAGTGTATTTCTATACTATGTAAGAATACTGTCCTTGTAAACGAATTCAAGTGAATGGGAATTACTTGTTACAGCTGCCTGTCAAAATCAACAATTATTTTATTAATCGGTAAGTTAAAAACCTAGAAACGTAAGGTTGTGCGTCTCAACTCAAATGCGTTAAGCAAGATTGTTAAATCGCCAAAAGAAGCCGTACGTAAAACTTATTTCATAACGATCAAAATATTACATTTTAAAAAAAGACCAAGATAATGTCTTACAGGAGTGCTCGATCATAACGGGTAGTTTTACGGTTTTTACCATACAATAAAAACCTGTGTTATTGCCGTTCAAGTTTGCGCGGTCCTCCGCGCTGTGTGCTGGCGCGTGTCACCGTCTGCCATGTTCCTCGAGACGCAGCTACACACGATGCTCGCGCGGGCTCATCTAAGCCTTCCCGAATCCCACTACGGTCGACGTATTCCTCGAAAAGATAAAAACCTGTCGCCCGCCCGCTTCTTGAATTCAGTCGCCGGCCACTCGGCCTCTGGGACAAAACTCGCAAGCGTAGTTTTACTACTGAGAGAGCCACCTAGTTAGCCAACTCCAGTTTTATGAGTTAATATCCCTCCGGTAAAAGTCGAAGAAACCCGCTTCTCTTCAATAACTTGGTCGTCTGTTGAAATGAACGCGAATTCGCTTCCCTTCTGTTGTTAATGGAGATAGACAAACAGCTATTCCTCGTAGATCTTTCTTGTTTTGTTTTGACTCGAGGCGAAGACTCCCTTCTGACGTCTGTTTACCACTGCCAGACAACGCGGCGTGCGCATGCGTCAAGAGGATTGATGGGAATTGCAGTCAGTCATGTGATGGGTTGTGCGCTGTAAACACGACCGGAGGGAACCGGGGATCCCGAAAAAAGACTGAGCACATAAAATGTTATGTAATAGTTTCTAAAGATGTGTGTGTTTGTGTGAGTGAGTCCTGGTTTTGTCATTTTAGGATCTCTAGGTTATGAAGCGGGCGAAGATCCTTATATTCCCTGAAGGATCTCCAATGGAATGCTGTGCGCGAGATCCCCTGGCCCCATGCTGTCCACATGGTTTCCCGATGAAATTGCAATCTCATTTTTTTTTAATTAAGAAGATCAAGTGGATGAAAGATGTTTTATGTTAGACGATGTCGTTGTCATGAAGTCTCGCCATCATCTGAAATCGCTGGGTGGTTTGAATTCGTTGGTAGTTTTCAAATTAAATTTAAGTTCATACATTAAATGTATATTTCTGAAAAGCCACCTCGGTGGTGTTGTGTAACCTTATCTGAATTTAGTCATTTTAAAATGAAAACTCAGTCATAAATGCATTGTTCTTTCTAGTTCAGCTGTTGCTCATATTTTAAATGCATGTGTCAGTGTCTCGATATGGATCAGCCACCAAAACTACAATACCCACAGGACCTTTCTAGGCATTACCCCTTTTCCCAGAGCATGATGCAACTCTTCAGCCTTGCAGTGAAAGTCAATATTAGAAATGTGATTAAGTCGTTGTTGTCTGATTAAGTAGTTGTATTTATTTAGATATCATGTTGGTTTCTTTTGACCAGATACACATTCTAATACCATGTGTGTGTTCAGTTAAAAAAAAGTTATTTTAACCATGTTAAATTGAAAATAAGAATTAGGTATTTTTTCTTTTGTGATTTCATAACTCATGCATAACAATCAGTACACAAAACAATTACTGCAGAATGACAGAAACGTGAAATGGTTAAATAATAGCAAATCATAATTTTGTGGTGGAAGTATAGAGAGAGCAGGGCTGCGTTCAGCCCCGACAAAAACGGTGCAAAACGTTTTTTAAACGGAAACGGTGGTGCGTTGAACACCCTGTTCTGATGATTGCCCCAGGAGTCACTACGTGGACATTAACATTTCTTCCCTAACTTGCCCTATGATGTCATAAACATTCGTCAGTCAAAGTGGAGTAAATTACTACACAATTTTACCCATTTCCAAACAGTCATTTCTGTTTATTTTCAATGTATGAATATTTCCGGAAAAAAAAAAAAAATCTTATTGCTTAATATGATAGGCCTATACCTTGATGTCCGGCATTTAATTATTTTTATTAAATGTTTTTATACAGTTTGTGTTGAATGTATGCGGATATGACACGTTTTCTTGACATGCACTGAAATAAAAATAATTATAATAAAAAAGATGCGGCATAAATGCATCAACAATTCCCACATTATATACATTATATGCAAGCACATTAAGTCAATAAAAGTACATGCACGCTATAATGTAATATTGGTATTTTACTCAGATTTTTAGGGATATAAAAGAATGGAAGTGTAATGGAAGCAACCAAAATCAACAAAAGAGCAATGATATACAAGTGCTATAACAAGTCTCAGTTAGCTTAACGCAGTACACGTAGCAAGGTTTTTTTTAAATGATATAAATAAAAAGAAAACAGATAGAATAGAAAAAGAATAGAGCAAACTCTTGTTAGAGGTCTTTTTTGCTTTTGTTAACTGTATTATAAATGAAAAGAAAACAGATAGAATACAAAAAGATTAGAAAGCAAGTGTTGTTGTTGTTTTTTAAGAAAACAAGCAGCAAATGAATAGTGCAAGTCTAAAACGGACACGTTTTTTTTTTTTTTTAAAGAATAGAATTAGAATAGAGAGTGCTAGAGTTAGAGAGTCAAATAAAGATGGAAGAGATGTGTTTTTAGCTGATTCTTGAAGATGGCTAAGGACTCAGCTGCTCAGATTGAGTTGGGCAGGTCATTCCACCAGGAGGGAACATTTAATTTAAAAGTCCGTGAAAGTGATTTTGTGCTTCTTTGAGATGGCACAATAAAGCGACGTTCACGTGCAGAACGCAAGCTTCTAGAGGGCACATAACTCTGAAGTAATGAATTTAGGTAAAGGGGTGCAGAGCCTGTGGTGGTTTTGAAGGCAAACATCAATGCCTTGAATTTTATGCAAGCAGATATTTTGGCTCATTAAAAATTAATCTTGCTGCTGCGTTCTGGATTAATTGTAAAGGTTTGATAGAACTGGCTGGAAGACCTGCCAAGAGAGCATTGCAATAGTCCAGCCTGGACAGAACAAGAGCTTGAACAAGGAGTTGTGAAGCATGTTCCGAAAGAAAGGGCCTGATCTTCTTGATGTTGAATAACGCAAATATGCAGGACCGGACAGTTTTAGCAATGTGGTCTGTGAAAGTAAGCAGATCATGAATCATAACTCAAAGGTTTCTGGCTGTTTTTGAAGGAGTTATGATTGATGTGCCTAAATATTATAAATAAATATTTCACTTCATATTCTATTGCAGATTTAAGTGTCCTCCCAGCCTCTTAATTTTCAAACGAAATTAATATTTGGAGAAGATACAGTGATCTGAGCAATGGGTTAAAAAAAAGCTAATAAAATTATATAAGATAAATATTTTATATCCTTTATGGTGCTCTACAACAATTAAAAATAATTTCATAATAATTCATTCATACTAGTTATTGGCAAAGTTATAGTAAATAATAAATAGGGAAATAAATATTAATAATGTTCGTTCTACGTGACTGCCAGCACTGGGGGGCGCTGTGATTTTTCTGACGCCACACAGATCGTCGCTCTGATTGGTCGAGGACTGAGCGTCTCTTCCAATGACTAGAATGTCCCAGTTTTCAAATCGACTCGGAAATATCAAACACTCGGCCTGTTTAGATATCTGGTAAGAAGACAATGCTTCCTAAAGATTATGATCTGTTTATTTGTCTAGAAATTGTATTAAGTGTGTTAGTTTCTTTTCGGAAATCGCTTAGTACTTATTTTCCGTGCCAAGGGTTTTTGTGTTACCATAACAAAACATTCGTTGCAGTTGTCAGTTACAAAGTCTTTTAGTATTTGTGATCCGTTATGTAATGTTATACAACCAGAACTATTATCAGACATGTTTATATGACACATCTGGATTCTTCTATGCTAAATGTTGTAGTTCAGTTTAAATTTAGACCAGTATTTAAGGAATTCAACCTGATGCTTCCTTTTGTAACACTTGTCATCCTTTGTGAGATGTGTGATTGTCAGTAAGTAGGTTTCAGGAAGCCACAAAAAAATTCACAGACTTTTTATTCCTTTCAGAGACCTGCCCTGCTATTGAAATGGAGAGCTTTCTAAGGCGGAAGCTTGCCCAGGCCGGTGGCAATGTATTGGGTGGATCGTCCCTTCAACAACCTGTTTCCTCTTACCAGTCTATCAAATTGCCAGATCTGTGTTCTAGTTTCTATTCAATTGCAGATGAACCTTTTCCCCAAGTGTCTGGATTTCTTGATGACACCGCCAGCCCGCCGATTCTTTCAAATGAAGCAGGAACTGTGTTGAATTCCCCTACTTGCACGCCATCAGAAAATCAAACAAAAAATAAGGATGAAGGCATTTTAGCACCAAGAAAAGAGGCTACCATTGACTCTGGTCTTAATTGTTCTCTTGGAGCGCACTGTCAGTTGGCAAATGGAAGCACGTCTACTACTAGATCACCACAGAATGAGAAAGACATTACCAGTGCAACAGCGGGCAAAGCAAATGGGGACTGCAATGATGCCACGGTATCCACTACATCTTTAGAGAAATCTGAATTCATGAGTGTTGAGTTAAAGAACAGCACATTTGATGTGACCCAAGACTCGAAAGAACAGTCTGACGCTGGTATTAATGCGACTGTTGATCTGCACAACATCAGAGAGAAGAACAACACTTTTGAGTCTCAAGAGCCAAAGGAAGAGTCCAACCCTAGTCTTAATTCAACAGTGGATATTGATGTTCCTAATATAAAGACTGAGTCAGGAAACACCACTGTTGACCTGGTACAGTCACATGACCCTAAAGAGGGACCTGACACTGGGGTTAATGCAACTGTGGATATTCCTAATCTAGACAGCGCACACTCTAAAACCAATTCATCTGTTGATAACAATGAACCATTAAACACTACTACAGAACAGCCAAATGAAAAGCTTGAAGAAACTAAAGATATTCGGTCACAAGAAAAACTAGATGGTAGTTTTAACTCTACTGAGGTTGATAAAATAAAAAACACAGAGGAAACTGATTTAAAAGTCAATGTAACAGTTGATATTGTGGAGCAAATAGCCAGTGCTCCTCTTCAGCCCTCTGGTGAGGTTGAACAATTGAGCTCAGCTACTATAAAACCAGCTGAGATGGCTAAACAGAGTACAACCACTGATCTCACTCACCCAGAAGTTCCAGTTTTGAAGGACACCACTGTTGAAATGAAGCCCTCAAGCACAGAATTAGCTGACCAGGTTAATGATGCTTCTAACTCTGTAGGTATCACTAAACCAGCCTCTAACAGCAGAGAAACAGAAGTTGGGATAAGCACCACAGCTTTTGTTTGCTCTGTAGATGCTCCTGATGATGCTTCTGAGCTTAAAGCAGAGGAGCCTCACGAAAAAACATCAAGACCTGGCTTGGCGGATGCTGAGTCCATTCCCTCTTCTGATATGGGAAATATCAGCAGAAACAGTATTTTTTGTTTGGATGATACACTGGATATGAAGACAAGCTTCCTGGTTACATCCACACCTATTGTTTTTGGCAAAGAATCCAGATTTGAGATACTGAGAGACGTGAAGCCCACACCTATGAGAAAGAGGCTGTGTGTGATCAACAGCATCGAGGCCCAGTCGAATGATGAGCTTGTTTGTGCAAGTAATCATGATGGAACTGATGCTGTGCAGGTGACTGAGAGCTCAAGCCAGAATCAGAAAGTCACTCACAGTACATCAGAACCAGCAAATGAGAACAAACCTCCCACAAAACCTCCAATCAAAAGACAGCTTCCTCGGCTTTCCTCTAAGATGAGTTATCCCAAATCCAGTCTTCCTCCAAGGCCACAGTTGTCAATAAACTCCTTAGTAGCGATCAAACCAAAGGCAATCCAAGGGCCGCCGGCCCCGCATCTGTCTGACACATCACCCACCACACTGCTTGGCAGCAGGAAGACCGTACAGATGAACAAGGGGAAGAACATCGCACCTGTCAAGAGCGCAGCATCAGCTAGCACTGTTAAGGTAGGAAACTCAATGCTTTATGTTGCTATAAAGCAGTCAGCTGCTTACAAACATTGGTCTTGTGTATGGTTAAAATGGATACATTTTTTTATTATTATTTATTGAAAACAGACCTCTATGGTTTCTTCTGTCACTGGATATAACTTCACTGCTGGTGAGTGGCTTATACACTTTTTTTAAACACATGTACATAATTATATTATTGTTCAAAAGTTTAAGGTCAGGTTTTTTTTGCACAAATTTAAAACACTTATTCATTAAGGATGCCTTAATTGATCAAAAGTGACAGTAAAAACATGTAATGTTACAAAAGATTTCTATAAATACAGAATTCTGATATTAAGTTTCCAAAAAAAAGATTTAAGCAGCACAACTGTTTTAAACATTGATAAAATAATAAGAAATTCTTGAGCACCAAATCAGCATATAATGATTTTTGAAGGATGATGTGACACTGAAGTAATGGCTGCTGAAAATTGCTTGTGTGTGTGTGTTGCCATCACACGAAAAGATAAAATGTTAAAGGGGTCATATGATGCGAT